CAAAATTCCTCCACTTCCCCCAAAAGTGAGGCCTTCGAATCTGATGAGAGAAACAAGTATTTGTTCATCAATTTAAATACAGCAATGTAATATTAACCCTTGGGCAGCAAAGTCACACATTTCCACAAAATTTGGTGCCTGCACAAACATCTTTAAAAAAAAAAACAGTGCACTCAGGGTGAAGTCAGGAAAAATCCTGGTGATTTTTTTCAGAAAGGACCGAAAAATGTCACTAAAAAATCCATCCCGAGGCTGAACTTTTTTTATCTTCTGGCTGGATTAGTTTTATTATTGGGAAGCTCTCAATTTTTCCATTGTTTGAACCAAAAGAAGGGTTAGATTTGCTGAAAAAGTCTGACTTCAGGAAATCTGAACACAACAGTTTTCTTGGACAAAGTCCACCTTTGCCTAAGCTCACCTGGCTGATCTTTCATGGCCTCCAACAAAAATTTAACACTGGCCCTTTACCCAAGAAAATCCCGTGAATTAGTCCTGCAATGGGAAAGAACCCTTCACCATGGAAGGGTTGGGAGGAAATTGTGACACTATTCACATGAAACCCCTTTACAGTAATATGATGATGGGTATCAAATCCTGGAATTTGAGTTGTCAATTAAAAGAGATACATTTCAAGGGGGAAAATCCTGGCTGCTGGAAAAAACCTCATGCACCCGGCACACCAAAAATCTGGTATACCTAATTTTAAATTTAAACTCATGTGGGGTTGTGTACGCGTGGCGTGACCCAAGCAGAGCATCCTTGCTTGGGCATGCCAACATCCAACTTAGCAGCCCACGGACCCAGAAGCAGATTGGCACCCAGTTTACTGCAATGCGGCAAACCGGGTGATTAATGATAAAGATCTGGAAGGCAGTGGAAGCCCAGCAAAGTCCCCGAAGACTTCACTACTTCAAGAGCATTGCCTGATGGCAGTTGTCTGATTATTCCTGCAAATAGATTGTCTTGTCTGATTGATGTTTATGAGTGTGTGTGAAAGTCTTGTAGATTTCCTTCTGTGGCTGCCTGTGGGTCTGCTATTAAAGAGTGCTACTTTAAGGGACTCCCTTTCAGATGATCTGGCCGTTGAAGGCTGAGTGACTGCATACCTTCATTCTTACAATTATTTGTTGATACTGGCCCAACAACACATATTTTTCTTCAAGCTTCATCTACATTTGAAGGAAATTGGAAGTTTTTGGAGACGAAATATTTATTGCGTTTAATAATTATGAAAATACTGTGGGTCAAACCCCCCCCCCCCCCCCATGCAGTTCGCTTCAGTACAATGAAGTAAACTGCAAAAGGTAGAAATAAAACTCCGAATTTACAGCAAAAAGGAAAAAAATCTAGGGAAATTTTTATCATGAATAAATTCACAGTACTAGAAAATTAATTTAGATGGGAAACCTCAGCAGCAGTACCTCGGAAATTAAAGCCATCAGCAGAGCTGCGATTTATGAATATCCCATTGTAAAAAAGCCTTCTTTCATCCACAGATTTCTTCCGCAATCAAAGATATTTGAAAATTTTCGGAGATGATGTATACGAATTTCAGGAATACGCGCTTCCAATTAATCTGTGAACTTCAGCAAGAATGGTTTACAATTACAAGAGCTTGAACTTAAAAGATATTTCTATTATACTGATCATTTTCGCAAAAGGTAATTTTGTTTGAAGTCAAAACGGAGAGACGACTGACGAGTGATGTATTTTCTTGAAGTTGAAAAAAACCCCCTTGGAACCTGAATAAATTTTTTTGATGAAGTACAGAGGGTATTTGGGTGAATACAGTATACAGTATACGCATACAGTACTTACTCTTCAGTCATAATATCCTTTAGGTTTTTCAGCACAGGATGACCTTTTTGCAATGCGATGACTTCAAAGGCAGCCCCAGATGAAGAATATTCTTGCAAACCCACCACATTCACTGCACCGTCGATGCTGTCCAAGGCAATCATGCCAAAATCGATCATGAATGCCCCATACTCCAAGGCAACCAGGGTTGTCAACACGTCTCGCAAATTATTTTTCCGGAAATAAGCGCTCTGCAAATGACCACCGTTCAAAATATACCTCATGCTTGTGTCTTCCAGCCATCGCCTGATGTCTAATGTCTCTATCCGGATATTATGATAGACTCTCATCAGTTTGTTCACAGGACCGAAGGACGTGATCGGGAATTCGTTGGTCAGAGCGGCCACGACTTTGCGAGTTTTGTGCAAACGAGCCACGGATTCCATGGAACACAATTGCCTGAGTGTCAAGTCGGGCCTTCCTGAGACATCGATGAACATGAACGTTGTGTTTGTGATGCCTTTTATTTTTGGGACAGGTTTTGCCGTCGTCATCGTTGGGGGAAAATCCGGGGTTGTTTCGGTGTCGGTGTCCGTGGCAGGTGCTGTTGTTTTAATCAAGTGCACGTAACCCTTGTACAGAATAATTGACGAAAAATGCATGACTAATAAGAAGATTCCAATTGACACGAGGGTGTTAATGATGAACCTCAGGCACCGTCCACTGAAAAATGGGTTCACACGAGCCAACACACGCTTGAATTGGTGAGTGATGTAGGCTTGAAATCTCGCTGAGTGTTCAATCATAATTTTGCGCCTCACATCGATTTTTGATCAATGAAAAGACTGTTTGTAAAATAGAAAAAGACAGTCATGACACAAGCTCTCATGATACGGGCTCACCTTCTGTTCAAGTAGATTCGGGTGATTCACTCAATGAAAAGTAAACACATGCAATTAGGAGCATGAAAAATATGGAAAGATCTTGCAGCACACGTTTGAGGGAGGATTACCAAACGCGGTTTTCGTTTCCCTCGGTTTGGAATGAAACCGGATTTCGATTCAGCTCGGAATTAGCACATGAAATGAGCAGGAAATTCCTTGATTATTTTTCACTTCTAAAACAGGATATTGAAAAATAAATGCAGAAATTCTGCTGATTAATAAGCCCCCTAGCGACGTAAAAGAAGCAAGTCTTTGCCCCACAGAGTTGACGGTTTTCATGTCAAGATTTTTCTTGGCACGCTTGATTTCATGAATTTCAATAACCTGTTTTGCGTGGATGGAAGTGCCAAGTAAAACATGTTTTCACAGAAGAATGCCATTTTTATTCAGAGAACGGACCCCAGCCCTAGGATAAATTAATGTTCGGAAATGCGAAATTTTCATTTCCACCGCGTTTCTAGAAAACAGGAATGCGCAGTACATTTTCAAATACTTAAAAATATTCGTTTGTCAAATACATAAAACTTATCAACAAACATATTGTAATAGCTATGATCATTCGGACACCTTTTATTTTATTTTATTTTAACAAAGAATAATTTCCTTTCGATTTGCTTATGACAAAAATATGAAAATTTAGTTTTTTTCAATTTTAGAGCTTAAGTACTTGAACTCGCTCATCGAAAATTTCGCCCAGGTTTCCTTCCTTATAAATAAATTTGAAAAATGTTATAGCTTTTGTTCACAGCAAAAAGTGTAAGAAATTTTCTTCAAGCTTTTGAGGATTGACATCAGGAACTATTTCATTAAAAAGCACAGTTATGTACAGTACATGCTTCTGGCTAAATAGCTTCAGATTATTGTTCCAGCCGCTGTATTGAAAATCACAATATCTGTAGTACCATATTCGTACATTCAAGTCATGTTCCTTGCTATTTTTCGTATACTGCAGCATCTACTTATTTGTTATTGAAATATAAAAAGTCATGTTATATCCTGAGCGAGTCACTCTTTATAGCAGCAATGGAAAGAAATTCGAGACCATCACCTACAGGGTGGACCAAAACATTCATTGGAAGATGATGTGGAAAAATCCCGCCTGTGGGCGAACACAGCAATACCTAAAAATCCTTCAATGGTCCAGAGAGAAAAAAGTGCATTTCTGTCATGACTTTTGAGGTATCTCCTTTTGGGGGGGGGGGGGGGGGGGGGGGCGTTATTTGTATTATCCAATTCTCTTTAAAATGGTTTTTCTTTTATAGTTGTAATAAGCATCATCAAATGGTTACAAAAAGCGTTAGAAATAAAAACTTACAAAAACAAAATTGTTGTCACAGCTCTTGTTCTCCATGGCTGTCCTGTTTTTATGGATAAGTGGGGTGCAGAAATTTAACCAGCAAATCCATGATACCTTTGACAGTGTGCAGTAGTGCACCCATTCCCAAAATTCACCAGAAAAAAGGTAAGAGTGACAGAAAAAAGTTGATGAGCGGAATATTTCACTGTAGCTGCTCCTATAGTGCATCCCAATGCTCCCAGTGAGGAATTCTTTTTTCTATCTGGACCATGGCAGGGGTTTTAGGTGTTGCTTTGTCCAATTTTCAGTGAGCTGATTGGGGTGGTAAATTTTCCTGAGTCCTGGGTTTTTGTGAGCACGCCCATTGATGATTTTTGCGTTTCCTGCTGGTTTTTGCCAGGGTGGATTTGTATGGGCTTATTTATCTTTCTGTGTGTATTTATCTTGGATTTTGTTTCTGGTGCACTGATGTGGGTTTTCCTAATTTTGAGATACTTTTTGGGAGGTTTTGGACACAGCAGCAGCTTAGTGGGAAGAGTTGTGTGACAACAATTTTGTTTTTGTAAGTTTTTATTTCTAACGCTTTTTGTAACCATTTGATGATGCTTATTACAACTATAAAAGAAAAACCATTTTAAAGAGAATTGAATAAGCTTTCATTTTTTCATTATTGTAGCTTAATTTTCAACTGAGATATCCTAATTCAAAAATCAGTTCACTTTTTCTGGCCCACCCTGTATATACTGATGATGTTTTGGCAAAAACAGTAACATTAACTGATACCATCAACGCAATTATTGTGGTGATTCCTTGTGAATGGCAGTGAGAAAATCGGGAAAAATAGGCTAGATATTTTTTTTATGCATCAAAAGTTCTAAAATCGCTACTTGATTAAATGAATAGATCCGCCTGAACGCACCCAAAGCTTGAGAAAAATCACTTCATTTGAATATTCGAAGAGAAACTTTTGAAATCTTCAGATGCATTTCCTTTTCCAAGAATTTCAATCAGTGCTATTTTTTATATACACACTGGGTTCATTCACGAAAACCTGTGCGCAAGACTCAACCCACAACAATACTCATCTCCCACATTTTCGAGAAAAAAATTAGATCCATAATAATTGCGGATTCGCCAAAAGATGTGATCAATCCAGTGCAATAGTCCAATGATTCATTCCATGCTTCAGTTTTCAATCCCTCGGGACATTAGCCCAGAAATACCAGGGCACTTTTTGCTCATCAATGCAGCCATGGCATGTTTCTTGCCATCGATGAAAATCGGTATGTTTTTCGTCTTCTCCAGCCACGTGTTGACAGCGTAACTGTCCCTCATGAGTTCAATGGATTCATTGAACTTTGATTCCCTGAACAGAAGTTTCCAGTTTTCTTTTGGGATAGGATAGAAAGTTTCCTTGTTCAGGAACGTGATGGAAGGACAATACGAATTCGGTGTCAGCACTGCGGTTCCGTTCAAGTGTCTGCGGCAATACCTGATGATGGCCTGTGACAGCAGAAATCCCCCACTTCTACCGAAAAATGAGCCTTGAAACCTGTATAATGATGACAGGATGAAAGGAAAATCAGTTTCTCTTTTACAAGTCATATAACATAGCAAAGACTAGTGTGTTTCAGTTCCAAAATATATCTTAATATAATTAAGTTTCGTATTAAAATTCACGGATTGAGAGAACCATTTCATCTACTGGACGTCGACGACGATGAGATCAGTTGAACCTGCATTACTTGATAAACTTAAAATTGAGGAAAGTAAAATACATTCCTATGTTGAATTATATTTTTTACAAGTCCCAGTCTGAATTCCCTTAGTAACAATATAAGATGAAAACCTTAACCTGATAAGGCTTCTCTCCATTCAAATTTATATGACCAAAATCTTCTGGCAGCATTTTGGTTATTATTTTATTGACACAGTATAAAGAGAAAACCAACCAAGAATGTAGCTTGTTATGTTTTGAAAAGTAGTGAATGATTAATTGGGCAAATGAGTTCTTTGCAAAGATCAATATCCTGCCAATGTATGTATTTAGAAAGAAATTTCAGGCCCAGAAAATAATCAATTTCAATTTCCTGTGCTTTTTCTCTCCCCCCCCCCCCATCCCTCCCTCCATCCTCACAAAAAACAGCTAGTTTTCTCAACTAGAATTTTTTTTTGCTGGCCCTTTGAAATTTTACTGGAAGAGATTTGAATGTTTTCTTTATCTTTAGAAATGCAATAAAATTGTAATTTGATGCTTTTTGAAAGTTTGTGAAAAAAGTAAGCAAATGGATTCATTGCCCTCAAGTTTAGTATCATCCAGCAAGTTTTTTAGAAATCATAGAGTTGAATATTTTTGATTATATTGTGTGTGTGCCACAGGACAATAGAAAGGCCTCAAACATTATTAACTTCAACTTTCTTCAATTCTTCTTAACCCTTGTGCAGAAATTTGGGATATTTTTGAAATTTTTTGTCCCCATGGAAATTACTGAATATGATTTTTGAACCAAGGCCTAAGACAGGAAAGGTCTTATATTTTTTTATAATCCTGCAGATAATTTTGGTCCAAAAATAAAAATAAATACCTCCTGCAGTCGTGTTTTTTCATGCATTCTCAGCATAGAGTTAAAATTGGGGATTTTAGTGGGATTTTCTGAACCTGCATTTTTCCCAACCTACGCCTTGTCAACGTGGGGGCACTTCAGTGACCTTATGTCCAACTGAAATTCCCCTCCCCCCCCCCCAAAAAGCCCAACTTATTTGCTACACCACAGTCAGGAACAGTAAGGGATACCTTACCAGGCACCCTTAGGCTAGCGACATCTACCTTCTGTTACCCGAAGCGCCAGTATCCGGATCAACTTCCCACCTAGCTTCAGCCAGGATGGAGATCGTATCGCAATCGGAAGAGAGGTGCGCGAATCGAGAGCAAGGAGCATTCATTCGGTTATTGACTTCTGACCAGAATAGTTGTTTTTATATTTGACGGAATCTGAGAAGAGTGTTGTGTTTGTGTTACGGGAATCTCGGAATTGCGGAGTTTGGACTCTGAGAAAATATACTCCGCTTGTGACTCTGGCCGAAGACAAGTTTATTAAACCTTATTGAACCCTTTGCCCTCCAAGTATTAAAATGGTGCAGTAGTTTCCCATCTCAAAACCTCTCCTGCCTATAATGAGTCAATTGTTTTTGCTGTTGGTCCCTTGGAATTTCACCTATAAAGAAAGTCAACTTCATATATACAGTCAAACCTCTTTAAGTCAAACTTCAAGGGACCAGCAAAACAATTTGACTTGAGGATGTTCTGAATTATAGCCACAATAAAAAGCCCCTTTGTCCTGGGAAACATAGAAAAATTTCTCAAAATTGTAAATTGCATTATTTGAAGGCTGAAATTACTTCTTAAATGAGCTGAAAGTGTCATGAACTTGGAGGCAGAGTTTATTTGCCTAATGAAATCTCCCACCTCCTTTTTACCCTTGGGCGGTGAAGTCAGACTATTTTTGCGAAATTTTGTTACACCTCAGGGCAGAAAATAAAAAAGGACAACAGGGATTTCAGGACAAAGTTGGGGGAAAATGTGATGTTTTTTCTTTTTGCACAGAAACATTTTGTGAGAAAATGAAAAAAATGCTATGCTAAGCAATGGGCTTTCCTTGGATTAATCCCAACTTTGCCTCAGCCCACCTGTACGGTCTTTTCTGACCTTCAGAAAACTTAAAACGACACAGCATACAAAAATAATCCAATTTTGGCCGGTGATGGGAAAGAACCCTCCACTGTCCAAGGGTTAAAATGAATCAATTCATGTTTCTATTGCTTTTTTCTTGCTTGTGCCAAGAAAATAAAAGGCAACAGGCCACAGAAAATTCGACTTATGGAGGTTTAAGGGGAAAAGCCTTTGAGTTAGGGAGGTTTTAAACATATCCATTCTGAAGCAATTCAGACAGGACCTGGCAAAAAAAAAAAAAAAGACTTTGAGGGTATTCAACTTGGGGAGGTTCCAGTTATGGAGGTTTGCCTGTACTAACTCTTCAGCCATCATGTACACGAGTTTCTTCGTGATCCTGTGACCTCGTGCCAAATACATGACATCCATGGCAGCACCCACGGGTGAGTACTCCTGCAGTCCAACCAGACTCGGTGTAGCCTCCGCCATGCTTTTCAACGCAATCACGCCGAAATCCACCACGAAAGCCCCGTAATCCAGCGAAATCAACGCAGCCAACACGTCTCTCAAGTGATTCTCGCGGAAAGTCGAGCTCTGCAAGTGTCCCTCTCTCAGAAGGTATTTGAAACTGGTTTTACCCAACATTTGCTTCATGTCCAAGGCCTCGACCCGTAAATTAGGATAGATTTTCCTCAGATTGCCGATAGGACCCGAAGTCGTCGTCGGGAATTCGTTGTTCATGGCGACGACGACGTTGCGATGTTGATGCAGACGAGCAAAGGATTCCAAGGAGCACAGTTGTCTGAATGTCAAGTCCGGCTTGCCTGAAACATCGATGAACAGGAACGTGTTGTTGGTGATGTTCAGTGTTAGGGTTGGGGAAGGGGCCTTTGTTGTCGTTGTTGTTGTTGTTGTTGTTGATTCCACAGTAGTAGTAGTAGTAGTAGTTGTTGTTGTTGTTGTTGGACGGATGTAAGAAAAGCCCATGATGGTGAGGCCTGCCATGATATCAAAAGTCATGTAAACTATTAGAGCGATGAGGACGAAGTTGAGCAAGGTTGAGATGAACCGTCCGCTGACGAGAGATGTCGCTCGAGCCAACACACTTCTGCACTGAAGTGAATAGGCTTGCATGATGTCATTATTCTTCCTCTCTTCAGTCCTTGTTTCCCCCATTCTTTATTCTTCTGCAGTTCTTCAAACCTATTTCTTGGTGAGAACCAAATGTTCATTAAATAACGAATCGATTCGCAAAATCGTATGACAGATGTGGAGATTAATGAGATGGATAAATCTAGCTATATAATAGCACCTGCGCGAATAAAAATTGATGTTTTGAGGGAAGAAATGCTGTGGATGATATGATGAGAGAAAATTGTGGGATGCATGTCATTATATTCAAAGATTAGTCGAGGGACGAATTCTGATAAGGCGTTGAATGAATTTACAGAGCCTACTGAATCAAACTTATACGGCAGCATACAATTTCAAATTTGAAAATTGAAAAATTTGAGGGTTTTATTCATCCAAAGTCCGAGTCGTGTAAAAATGTGCAGTTCGAGATTCGCCAAAAAATCCACATTTCCTCATGTATTTTGAGTTTCATGGTATTTTTCAAAATCTCAAGGTGCAGAAAAAACGGAGACAAAATTTTTATTTTTGGCATTATTTCGTTGAAATCGAACTGAAGATTGAACAAAATTCCCAGTTCTCAATTTTCGAATTTTCGACGTTATGATTGGGTCTTTTTGATACAATGACAAATGCATTACGAACATCATGGTTATATAGTTTCAGGCGCCTTCCGAGAAAAAATTTTAGTACGAAAAGGATTTCAGATACTCTGCATTTTATTTAAAGCGTCAAGGCATTTAAACTGTAATTCCAATGTACGGGTCATGCATTTGAACCTTTTCCATCTTAGCTCTGAAATCGAACACGATTGTAGAATTGGATTTTCAAAAATTAAATTGAAATTGAAGCATAAGGAAACTTTTGATTTCATAAATAAAATTTGTAGCATTCGTACTTCTGATCAATGAACATTATTCATCCGCCTTTGATTGCTTCTGGATTTTATGAAAATCTTCAGTTCTTCTTAATAAAATTTTTCTCACTAAAATTGGCTTCGGTCACTCGAATCATTCAGACTTTTTTCGAAGCTTGAAAACTGCCCCTTCTATAAATTTTGAGCTGTAGTGTCGAAACACGAATACGAAGAAATGTCGAATTATTTCAATACAATTGGAACTCATTCATTACCGATTTTCCTTCAAAGAAAGATTCTCGATCGAAGAAACAATTCATGACCAAAGCAACGTGAACCAATTTTCATTTGGCTGATGATTTCAAATCTCAGAAGCATCACAAGCTATACTAAAAAGAGCATTCAAAAAAAGACCAATGTGATTAATTCATAAATATCTCACTTCAGATCTTGAAAATCTTGACACAGCAGCTTGTATTTTTTCCAAGAAATGTTCGCGAACTAAACAGGACTCGGGTTATTCACAAGAGATGTGCTAACGTGACACTGCATTTGACTTCGGTTTTTAGGATTCATGGGTGAGATTAAAAGCCAAAGATTCGATTTTAGATTGGACCCATGTTGGCAAAAATAATTATCGGATAACCAGGAATATCCGTCGCTGTCGACAGGATATTAATTTTGATCTTTGAATTCATCAGATGGATGACGTTTGCTAGAGAGAAAAAATGTATCTTCCACAGCATGAGGCTTGATATTTTTCATATCAAAATTCTGCGTTCTCGTCATCTCAAGGAATTTTTTCGGATGAAAGATAAATACCATAACGAAGGAATTGAAGGACAAATAATTTCGGAAAGATGTTCATTTTTTCTCGGAAAACCATGCCTGAAAATAACGGTTGAAACCCTTGGTGGACAACGTACATCCTCAAATATTTTCTATAAAAAAATATTTGGCAGAAAAAAAGAGGTTTCGTCTAACACATTCATTATTTGGAAGCCGAAAAAAAATTGACGGCGTTCCAGATTTGCTAGTTAAACAATTGCCTTTTGCATTGATGACCGACGTAAAATGATGGAAACGGAACAAGGAAATATTTGCTAAAATATCAGGGAAGCAAAAACATTTAAATACTCTTGTGTGATTTATTAATTTAATCAACCTCTTTGTTTTGAGGTATTGCTGAGTTGACAATCAAAGCAAGTCTTTCATTTGAGAGGATTCTTCGAGTTAAAAAAAGTCACATCATCGATGGAATCCGTTACTGCGGTTTATTTTTGGAGTGTTTTCAGATCTAAAATTTATGTTTGAAGTAGTAAAAACAAAAATGAATAAGCTAAAAAAATCAAGCAACTAATTGATGCGTCGCTAAAAATGACACGAGTCACGCCTACGCGATCAACTATCACTTGAAATAAATAAAAAATGCGGATAAACTTCAAAACCCGAATTCTGTTCAGAAAAGTTTTTCAAAATAAATTCATATTCTTATTGCTGGTTGTACCGGGAAGATTGAAGAGGAGTAGGAATTACCACGACATCCTTTTTGAACATCTTGGTGCGGAAATTAAACAAATTTGTTCGCATTCCAATTTTAGAAAAGAAAGAAAAATGCGAGGCCGACATTGGAATTTGAAGAGGAAATTTTCAATATCCCGTTTCTTATTGGGAGAGCAGTCCTAAATTAACTCTATAATTCCAGTTTCCTCTCAACATTTTCGTTTCACAAAATTCCAATTTTTTTATTTACATTTCAAAAACGGAAAATTAGCCATCGTTAAAAGAATCTCTCGAATGATTGCCACATTTTTCTCGGGAAAAAGTTAATTTTATCCTCACGACCGAATAGAAACAGCAATTTTAATCCTGATGTATAAAAGTTCGAAAAAGTTGACAACTGGAAAATTCTCAAAACGTTTGCGAACGTGTGAGAAAGAAATGAGGGGTTCCTTTTCCTACAGATTTAGTTCAAAAAATGATTTTAAACAATAATTCGAAAATTAGCCGCATTCCTCTCGTGACTTTTATGACATATATACGAGATTACCTTGATTTCTGCCAAAATCTGCACCAGAGATCCTCTCGAGAGGTTCTTTCATTTATCTTCGCAAATCCTTCGGCTTTTTTGTCCAATCTTGATGAGCATAAAATAATTTTTTGCATCTCAATATATAGCTTATTGCAGGCCATACATTTTTCAGCCTCCTTTTGCGAGTTTAAAATCTTTTTTGAGACTGGAAATGTGTATTTTCTGGCATTTCTGAGCATTGAAAATACCACTGCTGTCGGACCGGAAGCTCATTTATGACTATGAGTAAAATACACAACCGCATATTTCCGCATTAGAACAAATTATCAGTGATATGTTATTTATACTTGCAGCTGTTTTTTCCTTCAAAGTTTTTTTTTTCCTTCTATGACAGACGATACAGTCAAGTTTTTGCATAAAGCATGTCTTTGAAGAAAGTGCAAAGAGAGAAGAATTTTTTTTTAAAGAACGACGAGCTCTGTCTTCAGCAAATAGAACGGATTTATTTGGTTTCGTGCTTTAATTTTTGAACATCCGTTCTTTTTGAAATAGTTGAATTCGCGGAATTCGTTTAATCTCATGATTTTGCTCGTGAAAGCCACTGACTGATTGATTATTTGTCGAAGTGTGGTTGGAGCTCTCAACTATTACAGTATCATCTCTTCGTCTGACTTAAGATTTATTCTGAGTGCGCATAAATCTGATCTGAATAATTTACTGAAAAAAAAGTCGAATTTGAAAAAATGTACAGATGTAGTATACGAATTTTCATGACTGATGTGAAATCCCAATAAAGGTGTATCTTCGAGAATTTTGCTACCGATTTTGTATAGTGCGAAGTTTTTATTCATCGCTCAAACAATCACTTATTATCTAACCATCGAAAATTGTCTGTTTTCTTGTTCACTGATTCGAAAAATTGATAAGCCTATGGATTATTTTGTTGTTGTTGAATAATGATTGATGTTCTTGTATGATCTTTTGAAATTCAAATCGATCAAAACTTGGACCAGTTTTCCCAGTCATCATCTGGGCCATGGTTTCTGTTTGATTGAAAAATACCATGTTCAGTCATTTTGTTCCTGGAGAAGCTGGCATGTATACAGAACTGTTTAATTTTTTTTTCACTTCAGGTTTTGAAATTTTTATTTTATATCCAGGATCAACGATTGGTTATCCTTTCCATCAAAATGTTGACAGTGGGCACTTTTACAAAAGAGGGAGTGCAGGCGTATTTACACCAATTGAAAGCTTTTTTATCCCGGGTGCAAACTGTTGTCAACATTCGATACATCAGCGGAATCGTTTGCGACATTTTCATGCTCCTGATAGTCTGCCTCTTTAGTGTCATGATAATTTTTACATATGTTGTACCCGAAGAAATTCCTACTACTCTTGCTCCAAAAACAACAACGACAACGAAAACCACAAGTGCTACTCAGAAAAGCACAACCGTAACCTCGACAATAACCAGCACTACCCGAAAGGTTGGAGAATCATTCAAAGATTTCTGTATATTAAATCCCGAAATTCTTCCAGAAACTTCACCTTTTTTTCTAGCAAAATCCAGAACCCATTTGACGTTTTTTTCAAATATTTTTTATGCATAATTATCTGGAAGATTTAAAAAATATTGTACTTCTACCAACGTTTTACGTGTATGTGTCTTGGTTTAAAAATATATCTTTTAAAGTTTCCATGCTCATATATAGGGCGCATCATTTTGCAAAAATATCCCACCTTTGCCACATGAGGGTTAGAAATAGAATAAATTTTCTAATGCCTTCAGCCCTTAGCAAACAAAGGTCAGACCAGCTAAGGTTAATCAGCTGAGTTTTGCATTTTCTTTATTTCAAGTTTCCTTAGCCTTTCTTTTCTTTGTTTTAGGCCAGTGTTCCCCGATCTTTTTGGACCGTAGGGCCAACAAATTCCCATAAAATTTTTTGCAGACTGCTGGGAAAAATTTCCATCAAATTTTTTTTTGAACCAGCAAATTCCCAAAAAACTTTTCTGTGGAATGACAAAGTTTCATGAAATGTTCGCAGACTTAAAATTAGTTTTGCTCAAAAGCTTTTATGGCAGACATTTAAAGGTTTTTGGGTTTTTCTTCACAAATTCGGTTAAGCACCAATGAAGCAGGCATGGAAAAATACCATCAACAAATTAAAAAGGTGGGCTTGAAGAAATCTTTTTCAGAATGGAAAAAAGGATTCATTTCAGCAGGAGAAAATGCGTCTAAAAGTGTTATTAGAAGAAAAGCAAACTTTTATTTTCATTAGGCGATTTTGATTGCCGTTGTCCCTTCTAAACTTAACGTAAAGAGCACAGACTTCATCCCGAGTATATAAATTGACAGATCATGCTGAAAACTTCCCGCAGATCCGCAAAAAAACTTCTGCGGACATGCGCTGGTCCGCGGACCACGGGTTGGGAACACTGTTTTAAACTTCTTCTCTTATAGTTTCATCCATATACATTACAACTCTCCTCCCAGGGATATTTTACAGACCTGGAAAAGAACCATGGAGCTGGGTTGGAATTCTTGGAAATCATGAACATTCATTCTTTTCTTTTTTTATAGCTTAAAAATGTCATCAGCAGCCCGTCCATATTTTTCATGGATACTTCCGGGTTACCAGAGCTTTCCAACAGACAACTTTGCGCCGTGGAATCTGCGGCTCGATACAACAAGAATCGAAAAATCATAATCGGCATCACGAACCAGTTCCCGACGAAATCCCAGCTCATGGTGGATCTCAAGAGGTCGCATACAAATATCCACTACACGTCCCTCGACATTGAAAAGATATTGGTAGACACTGAACTCGAGACACTCATTGAAATGGGTCATCTGGAGAAGGCTGAGTTTCGCGAGACTCATTTGAGCGACGTGCTGAGATCGATCGCTTTGCAAAAATACGGCGGGATTTCCTTGGACCTGGATTTCATCGTCATCAGGTCATTGGCAAAGGTCATCAACGCGGTCGGATTGGGAGAATACAGCGTACTTGGGGCGGCCAACGCGGCAATGGCTTTTCAAAAGAAGCATCCAGTCATTGTTGATTACGTTGAGAGCCTGGCTCAAGAGTAAGTTACTGCTGACGCTGAGGAATTCAATCTCAAAAACATTCATTGTACTTTTTCTTGAAACAAGCAGCTTTTTTCCTTCTTCCAAACATACTCTTCAGAGTTTAATTTTTTTTCTCCATACATCCTATAATGTTAAGGTCTGCAATCTCTCTTCAGCAACTATTTTGACTCTCCAAATGATGTGCAGCTTTTTTTTTTTACCCTTGGGTGACAAAGTTGGACTATTTTTGCAAAATTTTGTTACACCTCAGGGCAGAAAATAATAAAGGGCAGCAGGGATTTGAGGATAAATTCTGGGGGAAAATCCAATGTTTTTTCTTTTTGCACAGAAAAATTTTTATGGGAAAATGAAAAAAATCCTATGCTAAGCAATGGGCATTTCTTGGATTAATCCCAACTTTGCCTCAGCCCACTTGGAAGGTCTTTACTGACCTTCAGAAAACCTAAAAGGCCACAGCATAC